TACGCTTTTTAATTTAGCAATCTAAAATTTTATCATTTTATATTCCTCTTCAGCTACCATTTATCATAACAATGGGTCCTAAGCGTATTGATATGAAGTAAGTGCTTTATATGGGTAAACCTTTTCCTGCAGAACAGCACGTAAGTCTAACCCTGTTGCGAACATTCCCAGGAGGACTACTCGCGAAAGAACGTCAAAAAATTACAGGTTATTTTCATCCTTTATATTTATTAATTGTATTTCAGAATTTCTGTTAATGCAGTAAGCGCCTCTATAGACGTTCCAACTTTCAAGTAGGTCTTGCTTTTTAGTTTAAATTGCTAGAAGTGGTGTCAAAACGCAGCCTCAATCATTTAGAAGATCCAAAATCACGGTTGCAGAGTAGGCTTTTACATTCTTTTTCATTTATCCACTACAGCAATGTTGTAAAAAAAGCCAATAAACTTCCTGTTCATGTCTCTCGAAAGCAAATCAATAAAAGTAAATCACCTACTTCGTCTGTCAAAGTAGCCGCTGAAAACATTATTTCAAGCGATCCATTTGGTGACTCGGAAGAAGTTTTTGAGCATAATTTGCTACAAAGCAAAGACAAACGTGAACTTAAAAGGAGTCGTCGGCCAAATTCTTCAAATTACATACAAAAGCGATTTTTATATGATGTTCCGGAGCCGCCTAAGAGAATCCGGAAGAGGGTTGCCTTTGTTTCGAAACTACATGGCTCCTCTGATAAATGCCGCATACGGTCACCAATTGGACAACCCGTGGATTTAGTTGCTTCTAATTTGTTCAATAAACGTCGCCAGAGTCAAATTACGGATGATACTGCCATCGTTACTAACAAATCAAAATCTAAGGCGCGAGTTTCACATTGTTTTGGTGGTTTTTACGGAAAATTACCCCATCGTATCGATGCATCCTTGGATGAAGATCTCAACGGCGACGTTAAAAGTATGCTTATTGCTTTATCTGCTAATAAATTGTTTGCTTTGCTTTGTTAGCATTACCAATATTTTATTATATTTGCTGAGTATCTGTTGACATTTCTTAAGATTGGGCGCCTGATCGCTATGAGGAATTTCAACAGCCTTCTCCGCATTCCGACCTACCTAAAGAAGAGGTAAATTCCTTTATTTTTATGGTCGTTTTATTGAGCATTTTCTAATACATTCGTGAAATTATAGGATTCTATTTTTCATCTTGATACACGGGTTGTTAATTTGATCCCTGGATCCCGAGGTTCAAACATGAGACATCGACTGCAGGCGACACGTTTTGGACATAAACCAATCTCTATGCAGATTAGCAATGAATACGAAGGTATTTTTATACCTATATGGAATTTTTACTTAATTATTATTCAATATTTAGTATTATATTATTTTCAATTTGGTCTCATCGTTCTCTGATTGCATTTATTTTAATAAAGTGCAAAAACTCAGCTTGTATTTCAGTTTACTCATCAGAATTCTTCCCATATTCATCAGAAACAATTTTTGCAATTATATAAGCCACATTTAAGCCTAGATGTAACCACAATATTATATTGGTCTACACAATTGGTATTTCAGAGAACATGCAAATATTAATGTGTTTACTGATTACCTAATATTTTCGACGCAAATTTAAATAAATTGGTGAGTAATTGCCTTAAATACATATAGTTCTAAGTTTACTTTCGTTTTCAGGAATTTAGCCTTAGATAATATTTTGTTATTCCTATCTATCGTAGACTTTCGTTCACGGAATGATAGTTATAATTGCAACGATCGATTCAGTAATTGAAACCTCCAATTCTCATGAGGTTTTTTTTACTCATTTAATTCTGTTAAGATTCTTAGCAAAAGGCTATTAAAAAATCTTATTCTGACTATTTAAAATTCTTAGAATAAATATTATCCAATGTTTGATTATCGAGAAAATGAGGTTGCCTAAATGAATATGCTCAAATGTCTGATAATTTGTGGACTCTTACTTAATTCTAGACATTTTTCATTTATATTAGCTTTATAATCGTGATTATGAAATTATTGGTGTGCCAAACTCTTTCCTTTTATCTATAGAAGTTGTGCTAATAAATATAAAGGTTGTTAATTAAAATTAACTATTCTGGCCCCTGGCTTAACTAAGAGTCACATTGACTTCAGGTGTATTCATACATTGTTATACTTGCCTATATACTTCTTATTCCTGTCCTATTTTATTAAAACGTAAATGCTCTTTGACCTGATAACTTTGATTTGGTCATTATTCATAATATATTTATATTTCA